TGTTTGGCTAATTCTCAACATACTGAGAACTATTGTGGTTGTTGTTTTCCAATTCTTTCAACATACTGAGGATAGTTGTAGTAATTGTTTTGTCTGGTTCTTTCAATGTATTGAAGATAGTTGTAGTAATTGTTTTGTTCAGTTCTTTCAACATACCAAGAATAGTTGTAGTAATTGTTTTGTCTAGTTCTTCTAATATACCAAGAATAGTTATAGTAATTGTTTTGTTCGGTTTGAAGCCCAAGTTTCTTAATACAGGTAAAGAAGACAGACCTATGGCTATATTCACCCTTGCCTAAATATAATAGCCTCTTTCATCTAAACCGATCATGGGTATATTATGTTCTAGTTTGTAGAATAACTGATTCTCAATTTACTGGTATTACTATTTGATATAACAGTACTGGAACCAGTTTTTGCTGTTATAATATATAAAAATATTTAATATTTTTAATATTTAGCAAATTAATAAAATATAGAAGCAGAAAATATAAAATAAAGAAAAAAAAATAAGAGCTAAAAAAATAATAAGAAAGAAATATTAAATTTAGCAAACTACGAATTCGTAATTTGCCAATTATAAATTCAAAATAGAAAGTAAGAATTAAATATATAAAATTTGGTAAAATCTAAGTTCAAATTAGAAAAAAAAGTATAACACTTTGACATAAAAATAAGATAAAAAAAAAAACTTTGAAAGAGAGTAGTAACATTAAAATCAGTGCTAAATTTCTTTTATATAAAATAATAAATTTACTGATTAACTATATGATTATATTATTATGATGTACTACATGCATATTACGCTTGACATTCACAGTTAAAAAATAATTTATTAAATTTCTAAATAGTAATAGGTAGAGCTTTGATCCTATTTTTGACAGGCAATCTGGATTCTATTAAATCCAGATTGAATCCGAGTTAGATTATATATAAAGCTAGCTTTGTAGCATATCCTTAGATTCATTAATTAAGTTCTTTGACCAATCTGAGTAAAAATCTTTGATCTAAATATCTGAATCTATCTGGATTTAAAGATCAATCTAGATAGTCAGATTAAGGATCGAAGCTCTAGTTATAGGGATGGTAGTTAATCTATATTTGAAAACAACCTGATAAAATTTAGTCTATGCATGATTAGTTAAGTATTCAGTATTTTATAACAATAAGTTAAATATATTATATATATATATATAATAGTTATCTAAATTAGGTTTTTTTTTCTTTTTTTTTTAAAAAAAAAGCTAAAATTAAATCAAATATTCTATTTTGATATTATAGAAAAACATGACTGAGTTGATTAATTTCAAAAATAAGAATTGTGCTTTTTTAAATTTAAAGCTAAGGCAGTAATTGATCAATAGAGTATTTAATCGATAGATGGAGTTCTGTAGCATAAAAATATAAAAAATAAATCACAATCAAAATCAAAAATTTCTTTAAAAGATATAACAGAAAGAGTGGGTAGTTACAACTCCTATGTGTAAGGTGGAGCATATTAGAGCACTTTTTAGTCTAGCATTCAACTAACAATTTATTAAGATATTCTATTTTATTTTTAGTTTCAATTTTTTTTTGCTAAAATCAATAGGT